CGCCTCCTCCCCGGCACGCTGTCGCAGCGCGCGTCGGGGGGGCTGGCCGGGGGCGGAGGAGGCGGGGGCACGTTGGGGGCTGCGAGGAGGAAGAAGAAGAGAGAGAGAGAGGGGGATGAGAGCGTCCGGCAGGGGGAGCCCTAGGGGTGGCGCCCAGCCCCCCTGGGGAGCGCGTCTCTCCTACCTCTGATCCGCGGGGGCAGGGGGGGAGCCGGCGAGGAGGGGGGGGGCGGCGGGGGCTGTCCAGGCTCCGGGTCTGGGTGCTGGGGGAGGCGTAGGTCTCGCGGCGGGGGTCCCGGACCAGGCTGGCCAGGCGGCGGCCCACAGAGGCGTGCCCGCCGCGATCCGGGCCGGCCGGGCTGGAGGCCTGGTACAGACTGAAGGGCCGGCAGGAGCGCTCCTTCTTCACGGGGCCCAGCTGCGCGGGACACGGGACAGCAGCGCGGTGAGCCTTGGCCAGGTGCCTCTTCCTGCCCCTTCCCTCCCCGCCCCCCCCGGACAGCGCCGACTCGGCTTTTCCCAGACTCGTCTCACGCAGGCCTCACTCGGATCGCCAGCTGCCGTGTCGCCCCAAAACCCCCAGCTGGCCGCCCACTGGAGCTCAGCAGGTGTGAGCCTGGCCAGTACCTGGATGGGAGACCTCCTGGGAAAGCTAGGGTTGCTGCTAGAAGGTGTTAGTGGGGCCAGCAGGGGGCGCTCACCCTGGGGTCTGTGTGGGTCCTAATGCCCCAGTATAGTGACGGGGACACTATACTGTAAAAAGGCGCCGTCCTTCGGATGAGACGTAAAAGCGAGGTCCTGACTCTCTGTGGTCATTAAGAATCCCAGGGCGTTTCTCGAAAAGAGTAGGGGTGTAACCCCGGCGTCCTGGCCAAATTTCCCATTGGCCTTCACCAATCATGGCCTCCTAATAATCCCCCTCTATGAATTGGCTACATCACTCTGTTCTCCTCCCCACTGAGAGCTGGTGTGTGGGGAGCATACTGGCGCACTATGGCCACTGTGGCACACTGGTGGAGGTGGAGGGGATCCCCATTACCTGTGAAGCGCTTGGAGTGGCATGTGCAGCTAGACACGTGTAAGGAATGATTATTATTATTCAGCAATTCAGTTCAGCACAGAGCTGGCCGATTCCAATTTGTTGGAATCTT